ATATGTAATAAATATTTCATTCACTATTTTTGAAAGTTCGAATGAGCATTTTTTAATCTGAATGTCATAACGTTCAATTCATAGTGACCAAACGGAACAGTAAAAACCGTTTTATATATGTTTGACTCAATAATTTGACTGTCAGTATCCAAATTTTAAATCAAATTTAGAAAATATTACAACTTTACTTAATCGATTTAGTAAGTTTCTTTTAATCGGTATAAGATATTGAATTCATTTTAAAACTTCATTTAAAGGTTTATAATTAATTAATAATCTTGTTTCTTTTTTTCTTTTTCTGCATTATTCATAACATAAAATGCGGTACAACTCCAAGGTAAGCTAGATTTTCTAATTAATTTTTTATCAAGAACTTCATTAATTTCTTTTTTGCAGAGTTTAAAATACACATGATTCATTTGACACAATCGTGTCTTAGTTTTAGTATTCTTTTCATCAAAATTATCGATGTACGGTAAAGAAATACAATATTTTTTTATTCCAGAAAACAGTTGGATTTTCACCACAAATTTCATTTAACATTTTTTTTATGTAAACTAAAACTTTTTTTTTCCTTTTATAGAATTACTTTTAAATTTTTCTTCTATAGTTAACAACATAATTTCTTTTTGTAGAAAATTAATTTGATGTTGTTTTAATTTAAATTTATTTATTTCAATTAAAATAATTTCTGTAGGATTAATAATAAACTTAAAATATTTTTTTTACCAAATTTATTAAAATAAAGGTCAGTATTATTAATTTTATTAATTAGCAGAATTTTGTAGAGAAACGGAGTTCCACAAATAATATGTTGTGTTTAATTTTTAACTAATAAAAAAAAGTATTAATGCAAATATCATTTTTGTAAATACTAGTAGAGGAAAGTTTATATTTTATTTCCATTTAATTTCCCAAAGCAGAATTTAACTGTTGCGTGATTTTTTTCAAGTATTAAGACGGTATTATTCCTTCTTAAATACAATCCATATCTACGTTTATTAAAACAGTGAGATTATGCAAAGTATTTTCTCTGTTATTTAAAGTTATAGTTGAAAACCATTTATGCATAATTATTTTTTGTAAAAAATTAAAAAAATATAATTCTTGATTATTTTCTTTCGCTACTGGTATTTCAGTAGGTATAATATTATATAATTTTAATTTTAAAAGTGTCATGTTTAGTTTTTCTTGATTTTTTCAAAAATTATTTATTTTTAATTTTAAAATATTAACTTCACTTTTTAAATTATTTATCGTAACATGTTTATTTTCAGTATTTAAAATTAAAGTTTTATTTAAAGTTTCTTTCATTGAATATCCTGAAAAAGGAATAATATTATAAGAGAAGGATTCTTCTTTAGACTTATAACTAATTTTATAATTTTTATCGAGTCTTTTCATCCTCAATTTGGGATGTAATTTTAATATTTCTTGTTTCATTGAAGAAGATAAAGTAAATAAGCCGTTCATTTCGACTATATATCTGTAATGATTGTTTTTATTACAGTTGTACTCAGATTTTAATGTGTATTGATTTTCATCAAATTTTGATGAATAAAAGGAATTGTCCTCAATTTCGTCTTAATTGTCTGACGTCTCTATATTCTCAAAAGAAAAATTTAATATGATTTTGAAAATAGATTACTTAATATTTTTCATCAATATTAAACTCATTTATTTTCTTTTAACTATGCATTTATTTGCATTGTGGTCAGTTTTGTCACATTTGTAGTGTTTAATTTTTTGATCTTTTTTTTTTCTTTTGAGAAAACTTCGGTCTCTCCTCTGAAGAATATTTTTCACAGTTTTACTTACGATATTTCTTCTTTTTATGAAAATGTTTTTCCTTTTCTTTTTCTTTTCAAAATTTAGGAATATCAAAGCAAATTGTTCACAAAAAACACATAATTATTTTCTTTTTGTTAATCTTTATTTTTTAATCTGATATCTCAATTTGAGATCTGTATATAAGGTCAAACCTTCTTGTACACGTATTGATTGTTTATCTATATGTCAGATTTTCACATGGAATATGATTAATAGTAACATCTTGTAATTGTCTTTTTACTTTATCGACAAAAATATTAGATAAACCTTCAATAAATTTTTGTTTCCAGTGCACATTGTTCGCAACTGGTAAAAACATTACTCTAATTAAAAAGACATCTTTGCACCAACGAAAACGTGTTAAAGTTAGACATCTTATTTTTTATAAAAGAAAACGAATTTGTTCTCCATTATCGGATACTATGCAGGTAAAATGCTCTAAAATATTGATAATTAATTTATAAACAACATCAATATTTGAGTCAAGCTTAATGCACTCTGTATTGTGGAGCTCAGGAGCTACTCATCAAGCTCAAGTTGCTCAATCATTACTAGTGAACTTGAGCTTAAGTTCTAACTAAAGGAAAACCATTTGAGTCGAGCTCATTTACACACCTAGACTGTATATAAAAGCCTTTTTCAAACTTTAGTTTAAACCAAATCATTTCACCAATAAAAAAAATCAATTAAACCGTTAAAATCATAAACTCATGTGTTTAATTCCAAATAATTGGAAAATCTATATACTCTCAAAACACAATTTTCTTAAATGCAATATGAGTCATCCATTGAGAAGATTTTAATGCATCATGATCAAGCAATTTTAAATTTCATGAATTATACAAGTCACTGGTTTTAATAAAGTTAAAATAATTGGTGGGTTTAAATTTGCATTGGAAGGGCATACAACAGAAATTTAATTAGGTATAATTAGGAGGAGAATGGTAGTGTTATTCTAGTTTTGTTTTCGCATTTACTATTTTATATAACCTTGAAAGAAAAATCACACTATCGTTTTTCAGACACAAACCAAGAATTTAATGTGGATTGAGTTTCATGAATTTTTTTGTGATGATTTAATCAACCATTTAAAAAATATTGATGATCAAAAACATATAGAATCCATTTCAAAACTTTTTGTTTCCTCATTTTCATAAATCAAAGCCTTCCAATACATGAAGGATATCATCAAGAACCAATGTATTTGATTTCAACCCATTTGAAAATCTCTACACTTAGAAATTACAATTATATTGACATGCAAATAGTCATTTATTAATAAAAAAATTATGAATTTGATTGATGATCAAATGATCTTGCATGCCATTATATTTAATGATGTTAAAATCAATCAGTAAACTTAATTTTCCATTTGAAAGTGATTATATTAAAATTTACGGAAATTTACATACGCAAATTCTTATGCATTTACTTATCTCACACCCAAACTTTGATTTTTACACCCTAAGCACACTAACCTATGTATGAAAAGATAGATTACACTATTTTCACCTTTTCATACATAGGGAAAGGTGCTTTAGGTGTAAAAATCAAAGTTTGGATGTGAGACAAGTAAATACATAAGAATTGGGTGCAATATATGTAAATTCCCCTGAAATTTAATTAGAAGGGGGATGATCGGAATAGAAAACGCCATATATACAGGTACATTAAACAATTTCTTCCCACTTATAATACATTTCAAAAATGAATTTCGCAAATAATAAAAAAAAAACATAGTTCACATAACATGATAAAATACAAAAAATTATAGTTCTTACAAATCAAGTGCATAATTTAATCATAATTTGCGTCAAACAATTGCTCATAATATTACTATCTAGGTTTTTTAAAGGTGTCAACTATATTCTAAAGTTTTATAGAAAACTTTACAATCAGACATGCCAAATGATTTGTTTGACACAGTACTTTAGCGAACGCACAACCAATTAGGCTCAAGTTATTTTAGAATTTATTTTAGTTAACTCATTTAAATTAATATTATTAAATTTATTTTATAAAAAGAGTCAAGTGGGTAATTACTGTTTTACTTGCATTAAAATATGTTTTTTAACTTTAAAAGCATTCAAAGTTTTGAGGATTAAAATCATCATAACATACACAAAATAAGCAAATTTAAAAGTTTATCTTCTAAAAAATAAACGAATGTAAATATTTTTAAAATGTTCTAAACATTATGTATATGTTAAAAGCTTAGCAATTATAGTATGACTGAAAGAAAATAAAAAAAATTAAATGAATTAAAAGTTTAAGTCAATCATGAGTCACCCCTTTATAGTACTACTAGAGACGCTAGTGAAATTAAAAAGGTTTAGAAAAGAAAATGAAAATGGAGAATGTTGTGCCTTAATTGATACAAAATTTAAATGGTGCTCCTCAGATGGCTTCCTAAAATAAAATGTATTTAGGAATACTATAAAATACTAATTATAGAAAATTGTTATTATTTAAATATTTTAATAAAATAAATTATAAATTTTTATTATGTTGAACCGTATAAATATTGAGCATATGCATAAGGATCAAGTACATAGAATAACTGTAATTATTCAACAAGTTGATGTCAAACTTATTTCGTTGTTTAAGTGTTTACTTTAAAAAAATCATCATTGAATTAAAATGCTAGACACAAGAGTGTATGTTTATAGAAGAAGGAGATCAAGTGAAAATTGATATCAAACAATATTGTTTCTATGCTTAGTTCTTTCGTTTTTTTTAATACTGCTATACACTAGATATTCTTATGCGTTAAATTTGGATGATGTTTTACATATTTTGTGATTTAGTGACTGTTTTATAACAGGATGTTATTTTGAATTATCATATATTTATTAGAATTGTGAAGTTTTATCGTCCGACGGGTCCGTCTTGGAAATTCTCAAGTCCCGATTCAGGTCATGAGGCCACATTATAGGTCAAACAAAGAGGGGAATGCTCTCATATTCCAACTTGAAGGCTTAAAAGGCTATGTATAGGTATTAACCTCAAAATCAGCTGAGAAAAAAAATTAGAAGTAGATGTAAATAAATTTTTATAAGAAAAGCTGCTGTGAGGATGAGCTTTGTAAAGCTACCATGAATTTTAAAGAAAAAGTTAAGGGTTATCAAAATTAAAAGGCTTAAATGATATATATACAGAAAGGTACATACCCGAAATAGACTTGATGCCCATTCATCAAGCACGGCCTGCAAATTATGGTCCACAAATAATTGCACACTGCTATCTCAGAATTCAAGGATATAAAAACCAATGCCTAAAATGTTCTTAAAAAGAAATTATCAAATGCCAAAAAAAAAAAAACAAATATTACACGTCACATAAGAAATTGTTTACATAACGAAAAGAAAATTATATTCTAGATGTACCTGAAGATCTGTATTCAATTTGGCTGCTTTCTCTATCAAGCCTGCAACATAACGAAGGATATAAATATCCAACGAAATTGCTGCCTGCACTCCAGGCCTCTGTACTTTGATAGCAATAATCTTCCCACTAGAACAAAGCCTGGCTTGATAGACCTAATAATTGCAAGGAACGAATTATATTATTTCTGAGATATAAATCTTAGTTTCAGTAACATAAGTTTAGAACGATCACAATACCTGTCCAAGTGAAGCAGCTGCAACTGGTTCGGGTGAGATTTCTGAGAAAAGGACATCAATTGAAGAACCTAGCTCCTTTTCGACAATGTTAAAAGCAAGTTCTGTTGAGAAGGGGGCTATTTGGTCTTGCAACAATGAAAGCTCATTTAGATATGCCGGTGGAACGACGTCCTAGATGAAATTCAGCAAGTGAAGAGGTGCAGACATCAGATCCATACATTAAGAATGAGCAAGTACGAAACTAGAAGCTAAGAATCCGTTTGGGATCACCCTTGCATTTAGTTTTCCACTATTTATTTTTATTTTGTTTTATTTATATTTTAATTTGAATTAAAATAAGTTTGGTATTGAAAGTTGTTTTTAAAAACACTAAACATCATTTAAGTGTTTTGAGTGTTTTTTAAAAACAACTTTCACAACCAATACGAATATATATATATATATAAGCCAAACATGTCTTCAAAAACAAATGAAAGTGATGCCAAACAAGCCATCCGTGAATCCTACTTGAATTAATTTTATCCATAAAAATTGCAATAGCACAATCGGTAAATAATTAGAAGAGGGTAGAACCCTCCGAGGTTATTTTTCTAGGTGCAAACCAAAATTCACAAAGAAGTAGAAAACACATGTTTAAAATTGAAACTGTCGAAAAATCATAATTCCGAGAGGGACCTAGGTGCAAATTTTTAGGAGCCCATAAATTATTAAAAAAAAAAATCAATAAAAAATCCTTCAGAAACTCATGTGGAAGTCAATAAACGGAAGTAATGTGATTTTGAGAATATGTATGGTGTCTTTTAGTTACAAATAACAAAGCTCTTGAAAGAATACTTGGGTATAGCAATCCCCTTGGAGACGGATTTATCCCTAAAAAGAACTAGCTTAAAATTAGCTAGAGGAATACTTAAGAGAAAACTTGATGAGCCAAATCATATAAATTTATAAATCAAATACCTACCCAAAAATTGAACACGAATCCATGCATTTGAGCATGCCACGATCAACCCATAGTAAGAATCACAAAAGAGAAATATATGAGTTGGAATTTTATTACAAATTTTTATATTTTGATGGGAATTTAACAGATGGAGATATGAGAGCGGTTTTGTGTATTGTACAAGAAATTTTCCCATATTTAAAAGATGTAACATAATAGTTTAGCATTTATTTGCATCACGAGGAGATTCTTAGAATAAAACAGTAGAAAGGTGAAAGCAACCAAGTTGATGTTTCATTGCATCATGAGGAAGCTCCTAAACCATAAGTTTTCCAAAGTAAATATTCAGATAAATTTTCAAAATAAGTATCTGCACAATAATGTTGAATCGCATTATAAAGCTAACTCTTTGTAAAGCTTGAGCTGGGTTTCATGATATGATAAGTAGTCATCCAAATTTATTTAGTCGTTTATTTTGCTTTTATATATAATTAAACACCGAAATATCAGTCTGATGTATATATAAATATATAACGTAAAAACAAAGAAACATCAGTAAAAAGAATTCTAATGGCTCAATTGGGATCACTTTCTGTTTTATTGATTATTGATATTATTTTTTGGTTTGTTTGTGTTTTGATATCAAACAAAAATATTTTTCATACTCTAAATTTGTGTTTTTTTTAAAATTTTTTTTGTTGAATATTCCATTAGATAATAATGGCAGATGGCAGCAGTTAGCAAAGCATGGCGGCAGAGGCCCAAGAGAGAGGTGGCTGGCAGCGCCAGGAGGCAGTAGCTAGCAATGGTGGCTAGAGGTGAAGGTGGAGGCGGTCATCAGTAGTGGTGGCGGTGTCTAGTAGTGTTGATCGACGGCAGTGTATATCTGACAATCAGTAGTGGCCGATTGTTGACAACAATGGCCTGGAATGTTTTCATTTTGAAAAAACAAAAATAAAATCACCTAAACATTTTGGCTTTAAAAACAAAGAATAAAGACAACATAAAAAAACAAACCAAATATTTAAAAAAACAAATTCAAACGGGCCCTAAGTTATCCTCCCATAAATTATAAAGCTACTACCATTTAACGAATTCATTAAGAAAAAAATGACAACTTAACTGGACGAGATGATACAGCTTGAGCAATTTTGACAAATGTCTGCAACAGAATTGAGATGTTTGAACGTTAGCAAAAGAACAAAATTGGAAACTTGAGAGCAAAATAAAAAACAATGTCCAACTCCAAGGAAAGCAGCACAAACAGGTTAAATTGTATTCACGGGATTTATCAAAAATAAATAACTAACATCAAATGAATTTGATTATTCCAATGGGATCAAATAGATCATAAGAAGATGATGTCATCAGGCTACTTGATGTTGTATTGCAAATAACAAATTAACATTCGACATCTCATCACATAAAAAGGAGTCAAAATAACAAAAAAAAAATGTTTACAGAATGTAGAAACTACATTGCCAAAGATTTTAGGATAGCAAAAATAAAATAAATAATTTAAAGGCTTATGGAATAGATTACCGGGGTACTTTGTAAGAAAGGGTAGGAAGCTAGAAGGGCAATACTGAGAGCCAATTGGTTGGCAGCAGGAACTAAGAAGTGCCTATGAAGTGATTTATAGGAAAATTTGCCATTTGCTTGTAGCCCCGTGCTCTAAAGTTAATTCTTAAAGTGTTTGAATGCAACACTCTCACATGTTCGCAAAATAGTAATGTCCACATACAAACATAATACAAGGTATTATCTAAAAAATTTAAATTATATAAACTAATTCTATTATTGAATATATTATAAATTACATAGAATAATATTAAATGTATAGAATTATATTGGCGCTGTGATTCATATGATCATTCTACACAAAAAACATTATTATATGTAAATTATAATATATTGAATAAAAATAACAATCATCATCATTAGCATTATCCAGCTTTTTAAGATAACCTTTATGAATCCTCATTTTCATTCATCCCCACTAAGTGTTTTAGGAGAGACTGAACATAAGTTTTATAAATCATTTTAAGCAAATATCCATGTATCTTAGAACCACGCCTTCTTCTTCCAAACTCTTTGACACTAATTTTATTTACTAGTTTAATAGAAGCATTCTCTACCCTTTATTGTACTTATACAAACCACCTACACCTGCTTTCAATTACCTAATCTTCAATAGATGCAACTCCAATTATTCCTCTAATATATCATTATTTAATATATCCTTCCTAATTTTACATTAAATTCACCTTAATATTCTTAATTTTCATGCTCCACTAGGACATCGACAACATTTTTAAAGCCCCACACTTGATTCATACGCCAATGATGGCCTAATGATTATTTTTTAAGTTTTCTTTTAATTCATTATGATATTCTTTTATCACATAATACTCATGAGACACTATCGTTTTAGCCATCCAGTCGTGGCTATAAAAGTTACTATTAGATTTATAACGGCAATCAAATCCTAATCAAGTCTCTAGTCATTAATACTTATTATTTCTTGTCTACTAGCTTTAATTCCCTCATTATGTATTTCCTTTTTGTTTTATTCTGTTTTAATCCTTTCCTATTCATTTTATTTTTCTTTATTTCTTTCCTTGGTTGCGCTTACTGTAATTGGGTTAAAATACCCCCTCTTCAATCAATAAACGTGTGATGGTCTATTCCAAATCTCAATATGGTATCAGAGTATAACCCTAGATCCAACAGCACCCGGTCTCCTCGACCTGTTCGAGCGATCGCCTCCACATCCTAGTCGGAGGCCTCCTCTGTCGGGTTCACCAAACAACAGGAATTCCACCAGAAAGCTTCTTCCTGTCTGCTCCTGTTCTGCTAGGAGCAGCAGGCTTCTTCCTGTGGACAGTTGTTCGCCCTTGTCCCTGTAGATTGTGTGCTCTTCCTGCAGGTACCGCCAAAGCAACGACAGGTTCCGCCAAAGCAATCTCTGCTGCACAAAATTCCGCCAGAGAGCTTCTTCCTGTCTGCTCCAGTTCTGAACAGCAGTTCTCTTCCTCACTGTAGATTGTTCGCTCTTCCTGCAGGTTCCGCTAGAGCAACAACAGGTTCCACTAGAGCGACAACAGATCCTGGCAGAGCAATCTCTGTTGTCCGGTGAAGCATTTCCTGCATTTACTATTGTCTATTTTGTATCTGTTTGTCATGATTCTACCGAAATTTATGGAACCACAACATATCATTTGGCTCAGTCGGAATTATGGCTGATTCTTTCAATGAATCACCGTCAGAAGATGTTCTTGACTCCAACGGATGATCGACTCCAAACCCCCCTCTAGTGCAGACTGGAGGACCAGAAGCCAACATGAATTTTTTTTATCACAACTTATAAGTTGAATGACAGCAACTTCCTCCAATTGTCCCAAGCAGTCTCTTTGTTCATTAAAGAATGTGGGAAGTTCGATCACTTCACTGGCTTGATTCTTGAGCCTCCAAAAACCGACCTAACATATGGAGTTGAGAAAGTGGAGAACTTCATGGTCATGTCATGACTGATTAACTCAATGGAAACGTCAATTGGTCGTTCATACATATTCCTCCCTTCAGTTAGTGCTCTCTGGACAGTTGTCTGTGATACCTACTCGAATGTTGGAAATTCTGGCCAACTCTAGCAGAAATCTAAAAAGAACCGGGAGGCCAAACAGGGGTTAAAAACCATGACCCAGTACTATAATGACATTTTTACATTATGGATAAAATGTGACATGTACTACGACTATACTTGGGATTCTCAGGGTGATTTATCTCTGTTCCAGAAGATCGTAGAGAAGGGTTGTATGTTCTAATTCCTTGTTGGCCTTAACAAAGACCTTGACGAGATTTGGGGTCGTATTCTTGGTCGGAATTTTTTTCCTTCCGCTTGTGTTGCATTCACTGAGATTCGTCAGGAAGAGAGCAGGAGACTTGTCATGCTCAATGCTTCTACACGTTCAGCTGAGTCATCCGCCTTGATCTCAAATAGTGTTAAACCCTCGCTCATGCTACCACGAACCGGTCCCCACTTGTGATTACTGTCACAAACCCAACCACACTCAAGATAAATGTTGGAAACTTCACGGTAAGCCGACATACAAACCTTCAGTCAAATCTTCTGCTGGCAAGGGACTCACGGCGATAGTCGAACAATGCACAGCCCAATCGGCTCCTACCCGGAACATCTTGAAATTCCTCCGAATCTCTAAAAAACTGGTTTGAGCAATTGATAAAGCTTCTTGGAGCTAATCAAGTTTCTTCAAGTTTGTCGACCTCCCACGTCTGACAAGGTACTTTTCATATAGCTCTCACTGTTTATTCATCCTCTAGTCCGTGGATTATTGATTCAAGCACTACAGATCACATGAATGGATGTTCGCAAGCTTTCTCGGCTTACTATCTTTGCCTTGGAAAAGATGCAGACAAAATTGTCGATGGTTATTACTAACAACTGATCTAACTCTAAAGTCTGTTTTACATGTTCCTCAATTGCAATATAATTTGTCATCTGTCAGCAAGTTGACGAATGATGTTGATTGTGTTGCTAACTTCTCTTCTGATGGGTTGTGTTTTTCAGGATCATCATTCGCGAAAGATGATTGGAACTACTAAGAGGATAGTTAGACTCTACTACTTCCACGATAAGAGCACGGAAAATACAGACACACCTCTCAAGAGTTGTAGCTTATCTCGAGTCATTGACTGTCTCATTATGTTATTGTATTGTCGTTTAAGTCAAAGGTTGCATCATTTGATGTTTTCTAATAAAAAACCTTCTAATTTTAATTGTAAGACATGTTAATTAACTAAACATCATCAGGTCTATTGCCCATCCCATACTTACACTTCTTCTGCTCATTTCTCCCTCATTCACAGTGACTTATGGGGATCTTCTCGCACTCCCAACTACACCAATAAAAGATGGTTCATGACTTTGATTAATGATCATACTCGAATAACGTGAATCTACATTTTAAAAGACAAATCGGAAGTTGTTGTCACCTTCCAAAACTTTTACACCATCGTTTTAACTCAATTCAAAACTCCTATTCAAATCCTTCGGACCAACAATGACCGTGAATTGTTCAATTATATTTTAGGCAAATTCTTAGTGAGTAAGGGCATCCTCCACCATAGCTCATGTACGAGCACTCCTCAACAAAATGAGCTAGCCGAGAGAAAAAATCGTCACCTCATCGACATTGCTCGCTCCATTATGTTTCAATCTAATGTCCCTAAATGTTTTTGGAATGACGTTATTGTTACTGCCACTTCTCATAAATAGAGTCCCCTTTAAATCCTTGATGATGCTTACGATGATGCTTACAACAAGTATATGTTTGATGATGTTGGCCTGCCGAACTGGTTTGCGGAAGAGGAGAAAAGACACTCCCAACCAATGAAGCCCGTGACAAAAGAAGAAATTGCAGCAATGAGGGCGCAGTTTAGCATAATTATAATTTACATGCACACCACACAATTATAAGATTGCCACTTCTCTAAACTGCGCCCTCATTGCTGCAATTACTGCCACTTCTCATAAATAGAGTCCCCTTTAAAATTCACTAATTTCAAACCTCCTTAGCCGTCCTGATTTCATACTTCTCTGCCAATTGAATCTTCTCCACATTATACCCTAAGATTTTTAGGTGCACTGTCTTTGTTCAGAACACTGCCCCCAATCGGAGTAAACTTGATCTCAGATTCACAAAAAATATCTTCTAGGAGTACTCTGTCCCTCAAAAGGGGTATCGGTGTCTTGATCCTGCCACTAACAAAATCTATATGAGTGTTGATGTCTCTTTCTTTGAATGTGTTCGTTATTTTCCTAGCTCGGTCCCAAGTGAGGGGGAGCTTGGGTTCATAGACACTATCTCTTATCTTACTCCTATGGACGTTCCCCCCATTGTTTTCACTACTGAAGAGTCTCATGTCCCGGTGAGTGCACCCTCCGATGAGTTCCCGGATCTAGTAAATGCACCATCTCCTCCGCCTATTATCCGTGTCTACACTCGCCGCACCCATTCTAATGCTCCTACTTTGGAACCCGCTACCTCCTACAGAACCTTGACTCCACTCCTCAGCATGATCCTTACTCTAAATGAGAAGGTGAGTTCTCCAAGTAAGGTATGCAATCAGACAAGCTCCCTCTAATTCTATGGCAAAATATCTCTTATGCAGTTTATCACCGACGTACGGAGCATTTACCACTACCCAGAAAGGCCATTAGATCCCTAGTAATATTGAAGTTTCTCTTGCTGATTCTGTCTGGAAAACGACAATAACGGAGGAGATGAATGCCCTTCAACGAAACCAAACATGGGACATCGTTGATCTTCCTTATTTGTGGGGTGTCGATGGATTTCAGCACCAAGTTCAACTCTGATTGATCCTTTGAACGCAACAAAACACGATTGCTTGTCAAATGGTACTCACGGGCCTACGGAGTTAACTATGAGGACACATTTGCTCCAGCGGCTAAGTAAACACTATTCGGGTCATGTTGTCCCTTCTAGTGAATCTTGATTAGTCTTTAATCCAGCTAGATGTCAAGAATGTATTCTTGAATGAAAAGCTTAAAGAAGAGGTATACATGTCTCTTTCTCGTGGCTTTGACTATAATGCTTCCAAAGGGCAAGTGTGCAAGCTGCGAAAGTCTCTCTATGGGCTAAAGCAGTCCCACAGGGCCTAGTTCGACAAGTTCACAAAGGTGTTCATGAGTCATGGTTTACTTAAGCTCAATCGGATCACACTCACTTCTTCAGGCATTCCTCCAATAGTCAGGTAGCTATCCTTATTATCGATGTTGACGATATTGCTCTTACAGGTAATGATCTCCCAGCACTGTAGTCCTTGAAAGATTTACTCTTTAAATCCTTTGAAATTGACTTGGGATCTCTCAGGTACTTCTTAGGCATGGAAGTGGCTTGATTAACTCGAGGCATTTGCCTATCTCTGTGCAAATATATGATTAACCTCTTAAAAGAGAATAACTTTCTTCTATGAAAACCAGTGGATGTCCCTATGGATCCCAATGAAAATTTATCTAACCTCCCAATGTTGTGTCTGTCAACAAGATTCACTATTAGCGTCTTGTGGGGAAACTCATCTACCTCGCCCATACTCGCCCCGACATATGTCGCGCAATTGATATAGTGAGTCAATTCATGCATGAGTCCTATGAGCATCATCTTCAAGTTGTCCACCCTCTCGGTCTATTGTTATTTGTATAGAAGTTGATTGAGCTGGATCGATTCATGACTGACGATCCACCTCGGGGTGTTGTTATTTGTATGGGAAAATTGGTCACATGGAAAAGCAAAAAACTATTTGTGGTTACTCGGAGCATTGCTGAAGCTGAATTCTGATCCATGGCCTTGGGGATACGTGAAGCCCTCTGATTGCGCATCATGCTCCATGAACTTTGTATGTCAACTTCTGCCCTGCTACAATTATTCTGTGATAATAAGGTCGTCATCAACATTGTTCGCAATCCAGTTCAACATGATCGTACCAAACATGTGGAGATTGACAGACACTTTATTAAGGAAAAGATTGACCAGCAGAAATTTGTGTGTCTACAGTACCCTCCAGTGGTCAAATAGTGAATATCCTCACCAAGAATCTTCCTTGAGCATTGTTCAATGACTTCAAATCCAAGTTGAAAATGATTGACATTTATGATTCAACTTAAAGGGGAGTATTAGATTTTTAACGGTAATTAAATCCTAATCAAATGTCTAGTCGTTAATACTTATTATTTCTTACCTATTATCTTAATTCCCTCATTATGCATTTCATTTTGGTTTTATTATATTTTATTCATTTTCTATTTATTTTATTCTGCTTTATTTCTTTTCTTTGTTGTGTCAACTATAATTGGGTTTAAATATCCCCTCTTTTATCAAAAAAACATCTGCTGGTCTATTCAAAATATCAACATTTACAGTCATAACTATCAACAAAGCGAAATAACACATGTATATAACCTTTAACATAATGTAGCACACCTTCATGCAGCAAATAAAATTAATCTTATTATTTGTGCAAAGCCACATAACAAGCGCTACTTTATTTCCGTAGTTTTTTTTTTTTTTGGTTCGTTATATTTAAATTACTCGTGTGAAAAAGAAAACTCAAATGGAGGTTGGATATAGCATAATGAGAGCACTCTCAATGCTATGTTCATCTCTCATGCAAATATATTTATTATATAATCATCTAATTGAACAAAACAACATATTTGTAGAATATATAATTCCTTATCCTACTTCCATGTAAGGTTTTAGATTACAATGCTCAAGTGTTGAATGATGATTTGTTAGATAGAGCTTATAATTTGGCTATATAGCTATCTTCATTATTTTTTGGATGAGCAACCAGGCATCCTTATTACTGATTCTTAGGTAAGGAGATTTGAGCACCTCTCTTCTAACTGTTTTAAGAAAACTATTAAAACAAGCTATGATATAGTGAAATTATTTGACTTAAATATAGAAGAATATTAAATTTGAGCAGCATTAAATCGAAATTTATAAAAGACGGATTAAATTATATTTGACCTACCAATAACAGGAAGGTGTTTCTTGTATTAACTTCAAAACAAAAAACTGAAGGATTTTAAATTAACAAACAGAGAATAATGATTTGGCTGAAAAAGTTTTAAAGTGAATAGAATGCAGGAACCTTTTCTTTTTCGAGTATCATTTACTGCAGATTACAACAACATTTTTAGTCCATACTCTGAAATTCTGATAAAAAAGTACTCTAAATATTTGAAGCATCAGAACAGCCCCTTCACAGAAGAACATGAACCAGAAAATGAAACATACCGGACCAAGTTCAAGCAATATCATTCGCAGCTCACTAGCCCTAATCTGCAAACAAGCAACAAAGTGAAACCATGAAAAAGCCGCACAGAACAGGAAGAAGAAAATTCAAGCGGCCGTCAATCTTAAACTCCAAACAGAG